AAATATTTCATATACAGTAAACGCTACATAGCAAAAACCTTCAAATGGTTTTAGGCTTACACATTTGTACATTTATTTATAAATCAAAAAAAATATAAATCATTATTCATACACACATAAAATCATTTAAAAAGTTGCAATTATTTATAACAAAAAATCTATTAATTAAACAACTTTAAAATAATTTTAACAATTATCAGGGACATCTACTTATCACTGATTAATTATTATCCTAATGTATTAAAAGTATTTAAAAATTATTATCTTTTAAGAGTTTGATAAAAAACACATAAAAATCACAAACAAGATAATTAATACAAACATAATAGTCTCGACATTATGGGTATTTCTGGCCACCGCTGGGAACCGGTCTGTAGCTACTGCTGGGGATGACTTACGCCCGCATCGGATCACCGCCGACACCGACATCAGGAACAGTATAACCACACCAATCGTCTCCACAATCAACAGCATATCTATGAGACAATTAAGACGTTAGACACTGACATAAATGGTACTATCAATGAATCCTAAGATGTCTGATACCCGGCTGACACAACACAGTGCCTATGAAGCCCCGGAAGTGATGGCAATCGCCGGACGGCACCGATAGCTGTTTGACGGCCGACACGACTGGTGTGACAATCTTATTGATGGTCTCAGTGTCACCGCATTTGTCGCCCACGTGTTCAACGATACAGTCCCTCAGGTGGTTGAGTGCACAGCAATAGCCACGACCCCAGGCCTTCGGGACCAGGTATGGCGGGTGTTCAAGTTGCTGGATGAAAGTGTCGCCACATTTTCCGATCTCATTCATGGACATCACGGCGCACAGGGGTGTAATCACATCCGACAAGTCCAGCCCAGTGACCACCACAGGTGTGGTGATTATGATGGCTATTATCAGTGGTGGGAACGCCATAGCAATAGGTTGATTATCTTGGTGCTGGTGCATTATCTGGTGATTATCTTGTGGTTACTTATGATGGGAATAGTGTTAATAGAAATGAACTTTCAGTGTATTATATTAATATGATTTAACATACTTTGCATAAAGTTGTAGATACTATTAGCTTGGTAATTTTTGATTATTCTTATATAACTTTTATGCGAAAGCAATCACATACTGTATAACTTGACAAATAAATTGTGTGTATTTTATTGCTTGAGCACAATTTGTTTTATTAGACTACAAGTAGAGGTGACTAATATATTTAGTGTGAAATGCTGTGTTTTAAACTTATTTTAAGTTTATGTTTCAAATGTTTGTTAATTTAATTATTTTCTTAAGCGGTATTTTCAATAGAAAATTACATAAAACCCTAAATTGTATTCATAAAATAAAGCTATAATTTCTAAACATACAAATATCCTGAACACCAGTCTCTCATATACTTTATTTCCCTGCAAAATGCAATTCCTTTGAAACATTTCATTAGAAATGCAAATCAAATGCAAAATCAAAAACTGAAAATGTTTGTAATAAATAAAAGTGTACCAAATAAGTTAATTGCATATTGCAAAAACAAAAATAAATACCAGTCAAAATAATGTGTACATTTATTTATAAATCAAAAAATATAAAACATTATTCATACACACAAAAAATAATTTAACAAGTTGTAATTATTAATCTCAAAAAAATTTAGTATTAATTAAACAATTATAATTATTATTAATAACTTACCATAACTATTCAGTGGGCAAATATATTAAACAGCATCCGATAGGGTGGGTCACCACCACGTAATCTACGATAACAGCACCAGATCACCGGCGACACCGACATCAGGAACAGTATAACCACAACAATCGCCTCCACAATCAACAGCCAATCTATAAGACAATTAAGACATTAGACACTGACATAAGCGGTACTATCCATAAATCCTAAGATGTCCGATACCCGGCTGACACGACACAGCGCGTCGAAAGCCCCGGAAGTCGTGGCAAACATCAGACGGCGTGGATATGTCTTTGAACGCCGTGTAAAACATACTCTTGGCCGGTCGGGCGCCTACAACCAACCCATTCATGTAGTTTACGCCGCATTTGTCGCCCACGTGCTCAACCACGCAGTCCCTGAGGCGCGTGAGTGCGCAACAGTAGCCACGAGTGTCGTTTGGCTCCGGGACCTGACTCTTGGAGTCTGTGAGCTCTTGAGTGAACGCCTGGGCGCACATCCGGAAGCGGTCGACGCACTCGGCGTAGGCGACAGGTGCCGACACATCAGAGCCATAGACCATAAGTGGTGTGGCGGTGATCATCGCTACGATAAGTGGTGCGCACCTCATGGTAAGAGTAGTGAGGATTTTTGTGGTGACCAAGTAGTTAAATATACCATTCATAGACATCGCGGCGCACAGGGGTGTAATCACATCCAACAGGTCCAGCCCAGTGACCACCGCAGGTGTGGTGATTATGATGGCTATTATTAGTGGCAATAGGTTTGTGGTCACTTATGAGGCAATTATATGATTGGACATATTTATACTTTACTTAACAATTTATACACTTTTAGCTAGATAATTTTTGATAATTCTTTTAAAACCTTGGTGTGAGAGCAATCACATACTGCATAACTTGCCATATAAATTGTGTTTGTATTTTGTTGCTTGATCACAATTTGTTTGAATAGACTACGAGTAGTAGTGACTAATATATTATACCATACGGTACAGTATGTCGTGAGAAATACTGTGTATAAACTTATTTTAAGTTTATTTCAAATGTTTATTAATTTGATTATTTTCTTGAGCGCTATTTCAATAGAAAATTATTGCATAATAGCCTGAATTATATTCACAAAATAAAGCTATAATTTGTAAACCTATTAATATCCTGAACACCAGTCTCTCATATACGGTATTTCCCTACAAAATGGTTGTATTTCCCTTTGAAACAATTCATTAGAAATGCAAATCAAATGCAAAATCAAAAACTAAATATGTTAGCAAAAAATTAAAAGTGTATTAAATAATCGCAAATAGCAATCACAAAAAAATAAATACCGGTATTAATAATTTGTACATTTATTTATAAATTAAAAAACATATAAAACATTATTCATACACACATAAAATCATTTAAAAAGTTGCAATTATTTATCGTAAAAAATCTATTATTAATTAAACAATTTCCGTATATAATGATTATCAATACCATAACTATTCAGTGGAATAATATAATTAGTATTCATTAATGGTATCTAAAATGTATTAAAAGTGCTTAAAAATAGTTTGTAATTATCACAAAAAAAAATCTACTATTAATTAAATAACTGCCGTATATAGTGATTATAATAACTAATCAGGGACATCGTATTTAGCATTGATTACTGATTATCTAAATTTTAGTTTTAAAAATGTATCAAAAGTTATTGAAAAAAGTATTAAAAGTCTTAAGACTTAGAGAAAAAATTAAAAACAAGATAATTATCAACGAAACTATGGTCGACATTAGGGATACTTCGGGCCACCGCTGGGAACCGGTCTGTAGTTATTACCAGCAATCGGGTTGACAAACGACTGCATCGGATAGGGTCGGACACCACCTCTTGATCCACAACAGCAGCACCGGATCACCGCCGACACCGACATCAGGAGTAGTATCACAACACCGATCGCCTCCACAATCAACAGCCAATCTATAAGACAATTAAGACATTAGACAATGACATCAAAGGTACTATCAATGGATCCTAAGAGGTCTGATACCCGGCTGACACAACACAGTGCCTCTGAAGCCGTCGAAGTCATCGCAATCACCGGACGGCGTGGATATGTCTTTGAGTGTCTCGACAAACGGCGCCACCAATTGTCTGATGGTCTTCGTGTGACCGCATTTGTCGCCCACGTGTTCAACGATACAGTCCTTCAGGTCATTGAAAGCACAGCAATAGCCACGAGTCTCGTAGCTCTTGAGGACCTGATTGCGGGAGTCTTTGAGCTCTTGAGTGAACCTCTGGACACACTTCGGGATAGCGGGCGCCGACATTGCGGTGCATAGGTTCATATACAGTAAACGCTACATAGCAAAAACCTTTAAATGGTTTTAGGCTTACACAAATTATGAATACCGGTATTTATTTATTTTGTGATTGCAATTTGCAATTATTTAATACACTTTTAATTTTTTTGCTAACATTTTTAGTTTTTGATTTTGCATTTGATTTGCATTTCTAATGAATTGTTTCAAAGGGAAATACAAACATTTTGTAGGGAAATACCGTATATGAGAGACTGGTGTTCAGGATATTAATAGGTTTATAAATTATAGCTTTATTTTATGAATACAATTTAGGGTTTTATGTAATTTTCTATTGAAAATACCGCTTAAGAAAATAATCAAATTAACAAACATTTGAAACATAGACTCAAAATAATTTTAAACACAATATTTCTCACTAAATATAGTAGTCACCACTACTTGTAGTCTAATGAAACAAATTGTGCTCAAGCATCAAAATACATACACAATTTATTTGGCAAGTTATACAGTATGTGATTGCTTTCGCATAAGGTTATATACGAATAATCAAAAATTAACTAGGGAAAAGTGTTTAAAACTTTTACGCAAAGTATAACACCATATGATATACACTAAAACTTTGTTGTTTTATACGAATAAATTTTGTAACTTTTAATTTATTTATCAATAAATATAGATTACTTTTTGTTTGGTAAAACAATATTTAATACTTGTATTTTATTTTTGTTTATTAAATTAATTGATACACTTTTAATTTTTTTATCATATATTTAGTTTTTGACTTTAAAATCAATTTTTATTTCTAATGAAACCTTTAAAAGGATTACATTTTGTATTTTATATTTGTTATCTAAATGTTTAATCTATTCATTAATCTAAGGACATGTCATTAAATCAAAAATTATATAAGAAATTAATTTACAATTTAATTATGTTAATTAACAACAATGCCATATATTATGAGAAATATTCATTAATAGGTTTGCAACGAAATATAAATTAATATAATATTAATTACAATACATTATAATACACCACTAATGGAGACACCGATGAACTATATGTCCAGTAATATAGATGTTTACACCAAGTATTGGCCTAAATATGAGAGTGAAATGGTATTCAGTGAAAGTTTGTGACTTTTATGACTATATTTTTGAATACAATTTAGGCTTGAAATACAGGCGTTTATTGAAACTTAAGGATATAACGACATTAGATAAGAGAACTATTGGAGAACCACTAACTTTGTTGATAATGTTGATAGATTAAAAAAACATTTGCAATAAACTGAACACAAGTTTTAAAACAAAAAGTATTTTCTGAGAAAACATTTCACTAACACTTGAATATAAGAATCAACAGTTATCTAGACTCTAGAGAGTAATCAGGGTAAAAGTGATTCGTGAAAAACACAAATGCGATCCATGATAAAGGGTTTGTATGACAGGGAGTCCTAAATAACCCGGGGAGTGGGTGGGTGTTAACTGGTAGGCCACTCAGGTCGCATAAAAACTATATTTAGTGGACATAATTTACAGTTTTAATTACCATTACACTACAGTTAGCATGGTGTAGAGTAACTTCTCGCCCCGTACCTCCCTGTGCTCTCTCTCATAGATTCTCTCTCTCTCTCATCCTCTCTCTCTCTCTCTCAAAGAAATAATAGAGTCATAAAAACTCATGTCATAAGTCATAAAAAAGTCATAAGAAATATATGATCGCAATCTGTTTGCCTGTTTTGTGCGAAAAAGGAGTGCAAAAACTTTTTATGCAAAGTACGACACATTCAGACAGACATTGATAAGCCATTGAGTGCCACACCATTTCCACTCAACACACCCATCCCTACCCCACATATATATCACCACAAAAATCCTCACCACCGACGACGACATGAGGTGCGCACCACTTCTCGTAGCGATGATCACCGCCACACCACTTATGGTCTATGGCTCTGATGTATTGGATATGTCGGCACCGGTCGCCTACGCCCAGTGCGTCGACCGCTTCCGGATGTGCGCCCAGACGTTCACTCAAGATCTGTTCACAGACTCCCGGAATCAGATCCTGGAGTCCCACGAGACTCGTGGCTACTGTTGCGCACTCACGCACCTGAGGAGGTGTATCATTAAACACGTGAGCGACAAATGCGGCGTAAACTACATGAATGGCTGGGATGTAGGCGCCCGATCGGTCAAACGTGTGTTTTACGAGGCCTTCAAAGACATATCCACGCCGTCCGATGATTGCGATGACTACCGGGGCTTTCGAGGCGCTGTGTTGTGTCAGCCGGGTATCGGACATCTTAGGATTCATGGATAGTACCGCTTATGTCAGTGTTTAATGTCTTAATTGTCTTATAGACTGGCTGTTGATAGGGGAGGCGATTGGTGTTGTGGTACTACTGGTGATGTCGGTGTCAGCGGTGATCTGGTGCTGTTATCGTGGATTAAGTGGTGTTGACAAACAATATCCGATGAAGTCGTCGGTCACCCCGAGTAATGAGTACATAGAGCTGCCCACCAGTGACCATAAGTACCGCTAATTATGACCATTAGTTTCGTATATATTGTGTTTATTTTTTTGTGTCTTTTTCCTCAAAGTCTTAAGACTTTTAATAACTTTTACTACATTTAAATAGTCATTAATCATAAATAGATGTCCCTGATAATTGTTATAATAATTTCATAATTGTTTAATTAATAGTAGATTTTATGTTATAAATAATTTGTTAAAAACTTGTTTCATGCGAATAATGTTTTGTAATTTATAATGAATTTATAAAATAAATTTTAATTAGATTTTTGGTTTGTAAAAACTATTTGATACTGGTATGTTATTGTTGTTTATTGAATTATTTGATATTGTTGTAATTTTTTGAACACTTTTTTAGTTTTTGATTTAAAAATCAATTTTAATTTCTAATGAAAACTTTTACAAAGGATTACATTTTGTAGCGAAATATGTGGACTGTATGTCCAGTAATAGACTTTTACAGACAGTAATGACCCAAATATGAGATACAGTATTAAGTGAAAGTGATTTACTGGACATAATATATACAGTTTTATTAACTATTAAACTACAGTCAACATATTTGTATTTTAAATTCAAGCCCTGAGCCTGGATACTTTTATAACTTTTTTACTATTTAGTGCAATTAAAAGTCAATTATGTATATATGCAGTAAATTTTGTGTAATAAATATACTTAAATTATTAAATTCATAATAAAATTCATCTAATCGCCACAAATTCTTACAAATTATTTACAATAATTATAAATATAATAAAATAAGAAATATAATATTAAATTACTTTTTAATAACTTTTGAAATAGCTATACATCTTACAAAAAAAGCAAAACAATTATAATTTGCAAATCATATTTAATAGAT